TGAGCCATCTACTGCTTTGAAACTAACAAAGAAGTGTGAGCCCTGGGAAGTGTAGCTCTGGCCACGCTTTTTAATTGCTATTTATTGTCCCTTCAAACATCTTCTTGCTTCACTTTCAAGTTGCCCTGCCTGCATATTGAAATCGAAAAGTTGAGCAGATGGACATGGCAGACATGACTAGAGCTGGCAGCTCTAATTCCGTCCTATCCAAAGGTTTTTTGGGACAGACCTTGGGAGACGCCAGCTTTCTCTGTCACCCATCAGTCTGGGGCCATGGCATTGTCGCTGTCGCTCTGCCTGCAACCTTGTCCTCTTCCCATCAGGCCTCCACTCCAGTCTTGGCTTCAGGTTGGACTCACGGGGTGGGGGTTAGGCACCTGGGCTGGGTCCTGGGGGCGGGGAAGGGCAGGGCATGGTCTCAGCCCACAGGGGCTTCTAGTTTGCAGCCAGTCTAGCAAATTCCTGCTCAGCTCTCAGGTGTCAGATCATCACTCCTTTTAGAGGAGTTTGTATGCTCTGATGGCACCTGGACATTTGTCCCAGGTAAATGAGCTTGTTCAGTCACCTGCCCTGGGAAAGCTTTGAGAGGGCCAGAACCCTTGGTCTTGTCAGCTGTTTATCCCCTGCACCTGTCACAGGGCCTGGCACCCAAAAGTGTTCTCATTAAGCTCCTGACTACTATAAATCAATGAACGAATGACAAGTGGGTGAGAAATGTGAAGGGGGGGGTCTCTAAAAGGACACAGGTCTCTCTTTAGCATTTGGAACATTTCCTAAGTGGAAAGTGCTTTCCGTATACAATGGTCAATAGTGAAGTATATTTAGAAGTCTGGGACCTCCCAGCTGCCCCAGATTCTCTTGTGTTTGGGCCAGCTGGGGTCAAAGGTAGGTGGGGCCCCTTGGCACCCTTGGCCTGTTTATGCAGGGTGGCACAGGGTTGTCTAAGGCAGGGCTGGGATGGGAGGGGCATGGACATGTACAGACAGTTCGGGCGGCAGTCCTGCCCTCATCCTGCGGGGCTCGGTGCGCTGCCTCCAGGTGGGTTCATCAGCACTTGCCTTCCCTTCCAACAGCTATCCATGCATAAGGGGCCATCATGGGAGGAGGCATTGTGGACTTACAACGGGTGGTTTTGACTCCTGGCTCAGTAGATTTGGGTTTTGTCTTGACCCCAAGTGCAAAAACAAAGATCCAATAATAAAAGAAGCTGCTGAGAGCTCATCATGTGCCAGGCCCTGTGTTAGATGCCCTTTTTCCTCTTAGACCCCAGCAGGAGGGGCCCCTGCTCTGGCCTTGGCATTTGGGGGGTGCGGGATCCTGATCCAGCCTTTCTCTGGCAGTTTCCCTTCCTCACAGAGTGAGGCTGTGCCCATCTGGAGACGTGCTCTCCCTTGTCCCAGCCATGAACCAGCTACCCGGGATATCTGACTTCTCTGCCCAAATAGCCCCAAGACTGCTTCCGGTGCCTGCTTGTCTCTTCCTAAAAGCAGGCTGCACCACTGGTGTATTGGCCTCAGACCCACGAGGTAGCCAGAGTTGGCTATTGGCTTGGTCTTGCTGGCTGGGGCATCTGTGCAGTGGGAAGAAAAGGGGGCAGGAAACAAAGAACCTGAGCCCAGAGGCTGGCCCTCAGTCTGCCGCCCTAACTTGGCTCAAAACTCCAAGGAGTCCTAGAATTTCAAATTCACACATCCTTACAGACCAGCACTGTGCAAAAGTATCACTGCAATGATGAAGCATTCTCTGTCTGTCTAATGCAGTAGCCACTAGCCACGTGGGCCACTGAACCGTGACCAGGGCAGCCGAGGAACTGGATGTTTAATTGTACTTAATTTTAAGTTAAATGTAAATAACCACATGTGGTCAGTGGTTACCATATTGGACAGTGCAGTTCTACATTATGAAGGTCTCTGTATCAAGGTGGGGGAGAGAATGGCATCTCACTTAACAATTCGCTCAATGTATTTAGACTTAGGGCGGTGGGTCTCCACTCTTGTCCTGGGTCCTGCAAATTTTAGGAACTGTTAAATGTTTTGCATGCTTCTCACCTAATCAGTAGGACACCACTCTATGTTGTTTATTATCCCCGTGACTACAGATGAGAGAAGAAGTAACTTGCCCAACATTGCAGGAACACCTGTGGGGTTTGAGTTGGGATTTGAATGCATGTCTGTCTGGCTCCGAGTTACTAACTATGATGTGCCTGGCCCTGGACCAGGTGTTTTTATAACCATTATTTAATTGTAACCATAGTCTTCCGACACCAGTCAAAGCAACCCCCCTTATGGTCACCACCCGTCAAAAAGTAATGAATTGCCCCCATATTTTACAAACCAGGAAACGGGCTCGGGGAGGCATGAGGGCTGAGGGTGGGGAGAGGCTGCTCAAGCTCACATAGAAACCCTGAGAGTCTGATTTCATACAGCGGGCTTCTGAACCCCAAAGCCAGGGTTTCGGGGAATTACCGAGATAGCCACTTCTCCCGGGAGTTCCCTCCAGCTGAGGGGTTTCAAAGCAAACCTGTAGGATTTTGGTGATGTTGGGCTGGAAAGTCCTTTCTTCTCAAAGCTGAGCACGCTGGCCACCAAAAGCAGCCCAGTCATGTTCATTACTGCTGTGTGGAAAAATTCAGTTTATCCCTCAACCAGTCTGACCAGTTTCAGGCTGGAATTAGAAGACGTCTCTGCAGAGGGAATCTCTGCAGACGGACTCCCTGCGATGCAGGCCCAGGGCATGCAGAACAGGCCTGTTGCTGTCAGGTGACTTAGCAAGGCACCAGGCAGAGTCTCCGCTGCTTTGTGGTGTGGTGCAGGTGGATGTTCTGAGTGCCGGGTGACTTTTCCACACATTTCATCTCATTTAATTCCTACAACTACCCTGTACAGCACATGTTTTGCACCTTGACAATGGAAGTAAAGCTTATTGAGTCATGCATTCACTCACTCATTGAGCAGTTACTTCCTGGGAACTATGTGCCATGCACTGAACAAAATCTGGTCCCATCTTCAAGGGGAAGACAACATAAAAGAAGGAAGCAGCTCCATACAGGAGATAATTACAGCTCGGGACAAATGCCTTGGCAACATTGCAGATGGAAGTGTTAAGGAAGGGGATATTTGAGCAGAGACACACAGGATGGGAATAGGCCAGCCTCAGAGCCTTTGCACCTGCTTTGCCCTCTGCTTACAGTGCCCTTGCTTCTGAGCAGAATTAGGTTGCATTGCCAAGGGCCCAGACTGTCCTTTCCTCTGGTGGCCTTGGGCAGGTCACTTTCCTTCTCTGAGCCTTGTTTTCCTCTTCTGTCAACTAGGAATTGAACTAAACAAATCTCGGAGGGCCCCTGCAGTTCAACTGCTAGGATGCAGCAAATTTACCCCCTTTCCCAGCAAAAAGCTGCTATCATTCAAATAAGTTTCTGTTAATTATAAAATCGCATTTTGGAAAATTTGGAAAGTAGAGAAAAGTTTAAATGAGAAAATCGCATTTTGGAAAATTTGGAAAGTAGAGAAAAGTTTAAATGAGAAGCAGTCAGCCATAACAATAATTCTCAACCTGTAAACCCCATGAAGGCAGGGGCTTGGTCTTATTTCTCCTCCTCCATTGCCTAAACTGCACTCACTCCCAGTGGTAATAATTATTATTATCATTATTTTAAAAAGCAACAATGTAGGGGAGCCTGGTTGGCTCATTCGGTTAAGCATCTGACTTTTGGTTTTGGCTCGGGTCCTGATCTCAGGGTCATGAGATTGAGCCCTTCATTGGGCTCCTCGCTCAGCACAGCGTGTGCTTGAGATTCTCTCTCTGTCTCCCTGTGCCCCTCCCACTCACATGTGCATAATCTCTGTCTCCCTAAAATAAATAAATAAATCTTAAACAAACAAACAAACAAACAAACCAGGGTGCCTGGGTGGCTCAGTCGGTTAAATGTCTGCCTTTGGCTCAGGTCATGATCCCCGGGTCCTGGGATCAAGCCCCACGTCGCTTCTCCTTCTCCCTTTGCTGCTCCCCCTGCTTGAGCTTGCTCTCTCTCAAATAAGTAAATAATCTTTAAAACAACAACAACGTTATCAACTGCAACTAACATTTATTTAGCAGACTATTAACCAGACCCTCTTGTAAACCATTTGCATGGATTATTTAATCTGCACAATAACTTGGAGAAGTGTATACTCTTTGCATGATGCATCTACCATACCTTATTATACAGATAAGGACATAGAACTCCAGAGATAGTAATAGAAGCTCAATAAATATTTAATCAATTGTTTTAAATCCCTCTCCTGGGTTACCATGATGATGGTAAGGCACTGAATAAAATCTGATTATAAATTGAGACCAAGGGAATGCCCTCCATAGATCCTTCACTCCCAAGCAATTCTTATTGCCTGTTTGTTTTCATTTCAGCAGTGGTACATTTTCATAGGAGAAAATCCTGAAAATACAGATAAGTGTAGAAAAAGAAAGTCCCCATAATCCCACCGCCTGCTGTCTTGTTAATAATTGGTATATTTCCCCCAGGCTCTTTTCAGTGTAAGTTCTTTTTAAGCTGATTGAGTTCAGATTGCGTATGCAATTTACTCTAGTGCTTTTCTCGGTATTCTATCATGAGCATTTCCCATGTTATTATGAACTCTTTATAAATATCCTTTTAATGACTGATGCAGCTTTACACAGGTGAATCAGCCAGTATTTAAAAAGTGAGAACCTACCAATACATTAATTTCACCTGTGAAAGATAAGGTAGCCCAGAGTAGGAAAAAAGAGCCAGGAGTTTTGGGACCCCCGTCCTACTACCTACCAGCTACGAGGTCTCAGAGAATAAGAATAAAAATACCAACAATATGATAGCTGCTTCCTGTGGTTCACGTAAGGCCAGAACAAGACGACATCCACTAAAGCACTTTTTTTTTTTTTTTAATGTACACAGTAAAGCAAGTGTTTGCTCTGGATAACCAGTTTTCAATTTTTTTTTTTTTTTGAAAACTGATTCAGGATGCAGAAGTGGGCTCAAATTTAATCAAACTGGCATCTACAACAGCAAGAGCCCTGAAGGAAAAAGATGACCAAGTCTACTGCCAGCCACTGTTGCTTTATGAAGGTAAAATGCATTCTCTTTGCAGATGCTTAGGGAAGGAGCAGGCTTTCGTGAATTCCCGTGCGCCTTCTCTGTACCTCCTTCTGATGCAGAGGAGCTGTGCACCGACAAGGGACAAACAGGAAGACTCTTGGGGTGCCCCAGTGGAAAACATTTGGGGACAGTTCTCTTTCATATATCTTCAAACAGCTCCCAGGAAGGTACTGGGGCGGGGGTGGTCATTGGACCAGATGACTTTCACGGCTGGCCTCTATAAACGCGCCGATTTATTGAACGCTGACTTACTGAACGGGAACAGTGTGTTTGCATTTCCACTTCTACACCTTCAAAATATCCTGCAGAACAGGGGCCATCAGCCCTATCTGACAGAGGAGGAGATGGCTCAGAAAGGCTGTGCTCCACACAGTGTAAACCCCTCCAATAAGAGTCGCACCCGTGAGAGCCGGGATTCTCAATCTGGGCACCCCTGATATTTGGGGCTGGGTCGTGCTTTGTGCGGGGGGCCGCCGTGTAGGATATTGAGCAAAACCTCTGGCCTTGACCCACCAGATGCCTGTAGCACCCGCACCCTGAATTGGAATAACCAAAAATATGTCCAGACATTGCCAATGTCCGGTGGGGGCACCATCACCCTGATGGAGAACCACTGCCCTAGAATATAAGCCTGTGACGCGGGGACTATGTTTCTGTGCTCGGTGTATCCCCAGCATGTGATAGAAGTGTGGCTTTGAGGGGTCTGTCCTCAACACAGGCGTGGAATGAATGGTCTTGTCCGGGACACTCAGCTAGAGGGTAGCCAGGCATGGGTCTGCTTTGCTCGCCTGTTGGCTCCCGCCAGGTTCACACATCTGGAAGGACGCTGTCCTGGGGACTTTGTTAGGACAACCCCAGATTTGCCCATAAGAACCACTGCTATAAAGTAGCATCCTAGGATCCTGTAACAGGTTCTGTGTGGCACCCCAGGCGCTGGGGGTCCTTGGAAGTAAATATATAGATCTTGGTAATAGTTCTTTTTTTTTTTTTTTAAAGATTTTATTTATTTATTTGGCAGAGAGAGTGAGAGCGCACACCAGCAGGTGGAATGGCAGGCAGAGGGAGAGGGAGAAGCAGGCTCCCCGCCAAGCAGAGAGCCCCACATAGCACTTGATCCCAGGACTCTGGGATTACGACCAGAGCTGAAGGCAGACACTTAACTGACTGAGCACCCAGGCGCCCCTTGGTCCCAGTTCTTAAGGCATTGACTTGCATCTCCACTCACTTGCCGCATCGGGCAGATGGAGGGTTAAAACGTTATGGTCTTTTTTGTATCGGGGAAGAGAATTCTCGCTTACTGTGGCAATCTTGGGCAATCCTGAAAAGTATAGCAATAGATAGATCCCTCATAATCCCTTCACCCATGGCAACCCTTTGGAAATACCCATTGTCTCTCTGTCATGTACGGGGTGCTTGGCATATGCCAGGCCCTCTTCTAGAGCTTCCCAGACCTCACCCCAACAGTCTCATCCTGTTATCCTTGACATTAGATGAGTTCACACACATAGAGTGCTTCACCAAGGGCCTGGCCCATAGTGAGAGTCCAGCACAAGGTAGAAGTTATTAGAACAACTCTGGGAGGCAGGTGTTGGCACATGTCATTCTTGTTTTAGAACTGAGGACAGCAAACTGAGGATAATTCCATAACTTGCCCAAAGATAGGAAGCAGAGCCAAGATCTGAACCCAGGTCTCTCAGACTCAAAAACCCTTAACCTCTGCATTTATAGTTTTACACAATGCATACCATACCATCTAGAATATTCTGAAATGGCTTCTTCCACTGAATGAATATAGCCTGAGAATTTCTGCACATCCTGAAGATTCTTCAAGAGCATGGTTTCAATAGCCTCACAGAATTTACAGGGATAAATCCTATTTTACTTGACCAAGTTCCTGAGGCTAGTCATTGACAGGGTGGAGGTTGGGGGGAGTTGGTCCCCAGACCAGGTTTCAGGTACAGGAGCACCATGGGAAGTCTCAGACCTACTCTGGGGGCAACTGTGGGCACCTTTTTCTGATTTCTGTATGTGGGTGGTCCCTCCAGTTCACAGTCACTGTGGCCTGTCTCTTGAAAATTTCATGATTACTTGTCTGTGGGCCTGGACATCTTCCCACCTCAACAGGCCATTCCCCTGCACTCCTCCCAAGCCCAGTAACCACTCATGCCCTGGGTCTTTTTCAGAAGGGCTTTGTGTGGCATATTTTCCATGCCTGCTTCCTCTTTTCTTGGACATTATATTTTCACCAGCAGTTGGCTCTGACTGCTTGGAATATTCCATAAGAGGGGGAATTTTCATTTCAGCCCTCAGACTTAGAAATTTAATTTGACACAACAGGCATATATGTATGCATGTACATGGACAAAATATTTAGGTTTTTTAATTACAAAAGTAAAAGGCATAACAAGAATTTCATGTAATGAGAAACCTACAGTATACAATATAAAATATAAACTATAAGGAAGTTATTACCCCAGCAATGCTTCCAAACCTTTTCTCTACATCTGTAACATAGTGAGGATAATACTATAACCAGCCTTTTACACTTTGTCTTATGATATGGACACTTTCCCATGTTATTAAAATTCTTTGTAAACATTAGTTTTACTTAGGTTATTATGTGAATTCACCAGATTTATTTAACTATTCCCCATGGACACCCCTTTCCACAGCTTCAGAAGTTTTTTTCCACACTCCCATACACGTGCATGCACACAAGTACTTTTTTTTTTTTAAAGAGCTCTAAAAAAATTGCAGTAGCCTCTGATTTTAATCATGCAATTCTTTTTGATTTCTATCTTGGATAATTAAAGATGCTTATACATTTAAAAAACTAGGTCTCTCTTTCCTTGCTCCTGAACCTTCTAATAGAGCCAGGGTAATTATCAGAGTTTCCCTCCCCCTGCCCTGTTACCAACCTTGATCTAATCCAGGGCCTGAAGCAAGTTCAGGGATCCTGGACTGGGAGCTGTTTTTGTGGACAGGATGCCCAGCCTGGCATGAAGGGTGGATGCTCCCAGCCTTCAGTGATGGGGGCTTCATTGGCCATGTCATTCTCTTCAGGCTTAGAGCTGCCTCGGATTAATTACGCTCACAACGGAAAGCCATACCGCTATGTCTTTGCTGCTGAAGTTCAGTGGAGTCCCATCCCAACCAAGGTACTGATCCCTATGTGACTTGGGCTGGCGCCCCCTACAATGATTGTGTCTGCCTGCAAAGCTCAACTCTAGGTTCTTGGGCTGGGTGACCTTGATCAGAAAAGGGAGGTCCCTTTGGGGCAGAGGGCAGATCAGAGAGTGAAGTCCACTTGGGACAGAATACAATGGAAGCAATGATGGGCAATCCAAGAGAGGCAGCCCTATCTGATGGACTGAAGCACAGCAAAGAGGTCACAGCTGTAGGTCATCCACTGATTTCTTTATTCAGTACATGTTTATGGAGCACCAACCGTGTGCTACAGCATGGTGGCAGTGAGGATAAGAAAGTGATAGGACGATCCCAGTCCCTGCCCTCAAGGAACTCACCCTTTCAAGCAGAGGGCTGAAACTTGGAGCATTTAGTTATTGTTATTTGTTACTATTTGTTGAACACTTACTGTATCCCAGGGACTATGCTAAGTGTACAGACATCACTTGTCTTTAATATCTTCATTTTTAATAATAAATGGAATATCTTTTCTGAAAAATGGAAGCAGTGCAGAAATGTACAAAGCAAAAAATTAAGGTTCATACACACACACACACTCCCCACTAATCCCACACACTAAGGGGAAACAGGTCTATTAGGGATTAAGAGAAATCCAGGGACTTGCACTTTTAAAAGAACAGAAGGATCATATCACACTTTAAATGTTTGCATTGAATACATTCATTGAACACATACAAAAATTGCAATGTAACGCCAAATGCCAGATAAATTCAAGATTTTTTTTGAACAACCATTTTTATTCCATAAGATTCAAAACATTTTATGAAAGAATACATGAAAACTCTTTTTAATGAGTGTTTCTTATGATATTTAAAGTCAAGAAGTCATCCTTGAAAGTCTGAATCATCCTAGGGTGCCTGGGTGGCTCAGTCAGGATTTTTATTTGTAAAAATTCAGTATGCAGTGTCAGCTGTTGGATGGCAGGAGGACCTTTGCTTAAAGATGGAGGAGGAAGCTAGCTGCTTTCATTTCTGCTGTTATACTGACCCCAGGTAGATGTCATTTGGAGTCTACGCTGGAGGGGCTTGAACCCCTCTGTCTGCAGGCATTGATGTCATCGGTTCCCAGGGAATGAGCATGTTCTCCAACAAGTTACTCATATGTCTTTCCTCTTTGGATGTACAGATACTGAAATAGGATGTTCTCACAAAGTCATCCTTAAAATGGGGACAGGAGCACTGCTGGCCAGCAGAACCCGTTTGTACCCACACCGGGTGCCAAGGACGAGGATGACGGTAAGACTCCAGGTAGGGGAGCCTGCTTGCTGCACTATGTTTGTGATCACCCCTCAGAGACATTGTTTGGGGGCAGCGACCCTCCCTCTACAACCCCCACATGACAGAGCTGGTAGAACCAGGCTTTGAAACCCAGGTCTGAGTCCAAAGCGGTGAGGTTAAGGAGTCCCTCAAAACACCCTCACTTCTGACACCAATTGCAAGTTGAGGGGTCGCCAAGACCACCCTCTGTTTCGATAGAAGGACTCACAGAATACACTGAAATCTGTTCTATTCATGGTTATGGTTTGTCATAGTGAAAGGTTGCAAATTGAAAGAAAACACACTCATGGGACAGAATCCAGGAGAATTCCATTCCCGGAGTATCTGGTTGTCCCTGGAGGTCACAGCCCACCCCAACTCCTCCAACAATACCCATGGAATGTCACCAACCAGGGAAGCTCACCCAAGCCTTCATGTCAGAGCTTTTTAGGGGCTTGGGCATGTAGACATGGTTGGTTGACTATGTGGTTGACCTTTAGCCTTCAGTCCCTCTGGAGGTCAAGCTGACATCTAATTCACTTTGCTAGGATAGATCATCAGGCTGGCCCCAGATAAATAAAGACATTCCTATGAGGCAGGACATTACGAGGGCTTAGAGTCACCTCCCAGGAGCAAAGATCAGACCTCCTTTTGGGAGACATTAAATTGTTTACTACACAAAAGCTCACTTCCTTTCCACTTTAAAATTCATTGCAATGGCTGACAGAATTCTTAAACCTCTAAGCAGGTATCTTCTGTACGGAGCACCTGTAAGTGCAGATTTGTGGCCCACCTCTCTTTTCTAGATTTCCATATGACCAAATGGTCTTTTCCCTCCTTGACTCTGCCTTTGTCCCAGAAATCCCTGCCCATACTCCTGGGGATGCTAAGTAGGGCAACCAGAACCATGGGTGGGGCTGCCCCCCTGAGCTGCCAACTGTTTCCCTTAGGTGAGAAGGAGTGGTTTTCTGCCTGGGCCGTGTCTTCCTACTGATCCTGCATGGCATGGCACACCAGGACCCCACATTACCGTCACCTCTGAGGTGGGGTATTGTTGGTAGCACCTCCTGCTGAAGCTGGCCTCCTACTGGGCAGGCCCAGGGCTTCCCCTACATTCTCTTGTGGGCAGGGAATAGCAATGTCTTCATTTCACCAAAGGAGAGGCTGAGAGAATGATGCAACTTACCTAAGGCCACACACCCAGTGCCTACAGAGTTAGGATTTTAATCTAAGCCAATCTGACTTCAGTTACGCTCAACCACCCTGAGACCCAGGAGACCTTGGGAGGAATCACGAGTAGTTGCTGGAAGTTTAGGGGCATTATTTCGTTTAATCCTATATCCCTTGAGAGTGAGTACTTAGAATATGTCCATTTTATAGAGGGAAAGGCCAGGGCTACCAACGTGCTGCCTGTGCATAAAGTGGATTGGGCTCATTTGAATGTTGTTGAGTGCAGCTAGTCTGAGTTTAGCTAAGTGCCGTATATTAGTCTAAATGCAGCATCAAAACTGATTCTCTGTAATCAGACTTTCTAAATAGTAGGCAAATAGCCTTTCTCCAATGCATGCAATACTTTACAAAATGCTTTCATTATTCACCATGCAAGAGATTCTCTGAGCAACCCTGGGAGGGCAGGGAGGATTCTCCTTACTCTGCAGATGAATGGACTAAGGTTCGGAGAGGTAAAAGGACTGGCCCCGGCAGGGCTGGAACCAGGTCTTCTGATTCCTACTTCCCTGACCTTTCCCTTCTGCTCTCACAGAATCTCAAAGTCATGTTCCTTTTGTTTGGATTCCATACTTACTTCAAAGAGGACAGGGAGATATAGCTGAGAAACTTATCCCTCCAGCTGCAGGAAATTCAAGTCCGCGCTTTTACAAAGTGTCTCTTTTTGTTTCCCCAAAGGGATTATCCTATCAGCCATCGTCTCTACCGATCCCCAAAGGCAGCCTTTTCTGCTTATTCTGGATGCCAAAAGTTTTACAGAATTGGCTCGTACATCCATTGATGTAGAGATGCACCTGGATCTCCATGGGTTATTCATCCCGGACACAGACTGGGACAAGAGGAAGCAGGCCCCTTCCCGGGAAGAGCGGGACGGGGCACCAGATTGCCCCCTGGCCCCTCAGAGCTGACTGGGTTGGGGCCTGGGCCCTGGGCCCTGGGCAGAACCGCTCCACTGGCAGGCTCCCACAGGACTCCAGGCTTGCTCCCTCTCTGAGTGAAGGGGAGGTCCTTCATTTCGCTTTGCACTTATTCTTTGTGTGACTGCTTTGAGACAAAGGTATGGAAATAGTGCTTGTCAGTATCTTTTCTTTCAACTTATTTTGGCTATAAAAACCTTATTTGAAAGTGGATCAAATGTTTATTGATTAGCTCAAGCACTTCTAAGAAAGCCCTTTTCCTTTATTATAATGATGGTGACCAGAAATTGTATTAAGTCACATAATCATCCTTCTTAGAATGGGCAACCACTGGCATCTCAGAGACGAGTAAATATTTATCACTGCTCCTTCCTGCCGCCCCTTCTCTCCCTCTTTCCAGTAGACTAGCTTGTGCGTCTAGGAGTTCTAACTTTCTCCACCATGCCCTGTTAGTAAATTGTGTGGCCAGGAAGGCATATTGCTTTGTGGTCATTCCATGCAAAGCATGGCATAATTTAAAATAATAAAAACTTCAAAGTCTGTTCCAACCTTATTTAATTTTTGCATGGCTTCTTTCCTCTCAAGTTCTTCTATGGCAATAAAATAGAAGAGCTGGCCAGTTTGTAGCCTGTTAGATGCCCCATTGTACACCCAGTGGGACAGCAGATTGGTGTGGGCATCCCCCTTTGCAGGAGGGGGTGGCGGGCTGGCCGCTGACCCAACTAACCATGGTCAGGGGGCTAGAATCCAGGATTGAGGCCCAGGCCTGGGCTGGTATGAGGAGTTCTTGCTGAGAACTGGGGCAGTGAGCCATGCCAGTGTCTGTGGTTCCCCAAGTAGGTTCCCCAAGCTGAATGTGCTGCCAGGATGGGCCAGGTGTTTGCACAGGGATGAAAGGAGGTTGGTGGTGGCGATGGTGGAAGCTGGGAACAAGCCAAGAAGGGTCCCACGTGAGCACCGGGAACCCCCATAGATAGTTGAGTCTCACCTTTGTAGTCTAGTGGGTGCCTGGTTTAGGACCCAAAGGCAGGCTGAATAATTCCAATGTACCCATGTCATAGGGTCAGGGGAGCTGGGAGTCCACCCTTATTCTGCACCTGCCTCCTGCCCTAAGTCTGGATTTCATTTGGTTACTGGTAGGGATTCAATGGCATGTCTCAAAGACAGGAAGGAATCTCCGGTGACACTGCATGGAGTACCCCAGAGGGCAGACCTCTCAAGGATGGTCTTGGCTTTTGCCCTCTGCCCACCATGAAGCCATACTTAGCTCCCACTCAAATGGAGGCTCCATCAGGTCTGGGGGTTGGGTTTTGTTTGGGGGGTGTTTTTTTGGACATTTTTATTGGAATAATTGTAGATTCATGTATAATTCTAAGAAATAATACAAAAGAGATCCTGCATGGACTTTACCTGGTTTTCCCAATAGTAGCATTATAGTACAGTATTGCAACCAGGAGGCTCCTGACATTGATTCAATCCACAGATCTTTTTCAGATCTCCCAGTTTTACTTGTACACATTACTATGTGTGTTTAGCTCTATGCAATTTTATCATATGTGTAAATTCCTATATCCACCACCACAGTCAAGATATTGAATGGCATTCGTGTGTGGTGATTTTTTTTACCACTATACCAACTTTCTCCCACCATGACCCTCCCACCCCATCCCTAGCCCCTGGCAAGCACCATTTCTAAAATTCTGTCATTTCAAAACTGTTATATAAATGGAATCACCAGTATTAACTTTTGAGGATTGACGTTTCCTAGCAGAATTGCTTGAAGATTCATCCATGTTGTTCTGTGTTGGGTGCGTTTTTGTTCACTACTGTATCCTCAGCACCTAGAACACTGCTTGGTGCATGACAGGCTCTCAATAAATATTTGTTGAGTGAATGCATGAGTGAATTCCTTCAACAAACAGGTTGTTGGTGGATAGTATACCAACAAGAAATGGATATTTCCCTAATGATCTCTTGGGACGACGAAGAAGACAATTCACAGGGAACCCAATGACAGCACCCAAGACTCCCCACGCAGGTTCCTCTCCCTGCCATCCCTGATCCCTCCTTTCTCTCTTTCCCTGTCAGTTCCTCAAAACCCCTCTCCCGTCCCAGCATTTCCATTTCACTCTTGGCTTCTAGATCACATTAAACAAAACCTGACCCCCGGAAATGGCAGAATGAAGACCATCTCTGCTTCCTTTGGGGATCCCAGCACCTCCAGCCTTCATGAGATCAACTGGGAGGAAATGCCAGCTATGGTGGCTTAAGAAAAATGTGACTGAGGTTTGCATTCAGAGAGCAGGAGTGGAAAAGAGGCAACAAATGTGACACTCACCTACTCATTATTCTGCTTCAGACGTTTGAGAAGAGGGTAGAATTAAGAAATGCTTCTCCCACCCCTATTCTACTCAACTCCAATTGCCAAACAGTATCCAGACCCACTCACAAGAAAGGGTGCAGTTCTGCAGGGAAGAAAAATATGCCTGTGGTTTGTTTACCTTGTTTAAGATGACTGGTGAGATACCAGACTGATGAGGAAGACTGGCACACCAAATCTTTTTTTCTCAGTTTCAAAAACACCAAAGGTCAATGACAGGATACCCGATTTATCTTGATCCTTAACGCCATCGTGTTTCATTACACACAGGCCAGGGTAATTAGCTCAAAAGGCCACGGGAGCTAAGGCACATGTGCCTTTCTTGAAGGCACCACAAGACGGTGCGTCTTCCCCTCCGAGCCTTCCTTGTTATGCTTCAAGTGGGTGTAACACATGACCAGGAAGTTCTGCAGGAACAATCACTCAGATTTGTTTATTGCTTTGATAAAGCCACAGAATTTCACAAGTGCTCTGAGATGTGTCAGCTACTCAGTAAGCCCTCAAATGTTTGCTGACCCACTAACTTTTTCCTTCAAAGGTCTTTCTAAATGATTCCAGTTCAGGAATAAGCTGGATGTATTCTTGGAAAAATCAACTCACAAAACATCTAAGTGCTTTCGAGCTACATCCCCATTACTGGTTCACACTCACTTCCTCCCAAAATTATGGAGCGTCGGGCTGACTCCATTAAGAAGGTGGCTGGTCCAGGTTAAGTACAAACACCTTTGATCACTTCTTAAGTTGTTTAAAGACTGGGTGGTGTTTAAATGGCCAAGGGAAGTCTTTCCCATGGCAAATCAGGACACGCAGACAGAAGAGTCATTCCTAGCTTCCTCATCAACAGGGATGAGACCTGTGGCCTCTACAGCTCAACTTCCTTCTAGGTGTTTGGCCCGGCCACCAGGTGCAGACAGACACACACACACACACACACACACACACACACACACACAATCGGCTGCACCAGCTGCTGGGCCACATCAGAAAACAGTCCCTTGAGGTCAAGCACCAGCAAAGAAGCTGGGGATATTCTTGGACAAGGCGAGCACCGTGTTGGGCAGAGTGGGGATGAGCCAGCCTTCTTTCCTCTTGGTGATCAGGAAAGGCTTCCCAGTAGCGTGTGCCTTCAGGAACTGCCTGAATGTTTGGAGGGAGCACCTGGCAAAGTGCTGGTCCTTACAGGCTGATAGTGTAGCTCAGGAAAAGGATTTGGGGACAGGTGTGGGTTGACTGAACAAAGCAGGTGGAGAGTGACTTCCCCCAAGAAAGAGCGGTTGAAAGAGTTACAGAATTAGGCAAATTTTTTTGTGTGTCATTATAAAAATCATGTATGTTCATCATAGAGCACCTGGTTACATTAAAAAAGAAATGAGAAAGGGCGCCTGGGTGGCTCAGTTGGTTAAGCGACTGCCTTCGGCTCAGGTCATGATCCTGGAGTCCCAGGATCGAGTCCCGCATCGGGCTCCCTGCTCGGCAGGGAGTATGCTTCTCCCTCTGACCCTCCTCCCTCTCATGCTGTCTCTCATTCTCTCTGTCTCAAATAAATAAATAAAATCTTAAAAAAAAAAAAAGAAAAGAAATGAGAAAGACATCCATTGTCCCACTATCAAGAGAAAACCCCTGAAATCATTCTGGTGTGGGTTTTTTTTCAGTATTTAAAATATTTTTGTGCATAACATATATAGTAGCAATTGGTTTGTAACCTACCCACTAGTTTATAACCTGCTTCTTTCACCAAACATATAATACAGGTATTTTCTTAAAGTACTAAATTCTTCTAATGGGAGCACGTTACTTCATCTTTGGGACATGGCATGATGTACACTATCCTACTTCTGGACATTTAGGCTGTTTCCAATTTTTGACTATTATAAATAATGCCAGATGAGTAATTTTGCACACACGTTTCTAGAGCTGACCCCTCCCCCAGCTCTGTATTTAAGTGGTTATTATTGTGATTTTCTTTGGCTAGATTCCCAACTTGGTATTTCAGAGCCAAAGAGTAGAAAAACAAGGTTTGGTGTGTTCTTTGAAAGGTCTAGGGTTTTGGCTTGACTCAGAGGAAACTGAGAAGTCATTACAGAATCCAAGAGGCTCACATGGTCAAAGTGGCTGGAGGTCACAGAAAAAGAAGGGGGTACATGGTAATATAACTTTCGTCCAAATCCTCCCTTCCTCTTCTTCCCTATTCCACCTCCTCCACATCTTTCCACTCCGTGCAGACACATGCTCTTTTCCAGGTATATATTCACTTCAGGCACTCATTCATCCATTCAGTGATAACCAAGACTGTGTTGGCATTTAATGGTGAGCAGAGCTAGCACCTCAGCTGTCCTCAGGGAACATGTGGCGCCCTGAAGGACACAGCACCAGGGAGACAGACGGACACCATTCAGTGGAGTGGTGATAAGAAACAGGAACACCCCAGGGGACACCCAATGCTGTCTTGAAAACCAGGGATGGCTGATATGGGAAGGATGGCAGCAGGGAACTAGGGGAAATGGGCGATTCCAGTGCTGAGGCCTGGAATCAGGGGAGAAGTTGGGAAATTTAGAAAACTTCAACTGTGAGGTAGAAGCTGGGCAGGAAAGGCAAGTTTCAGCCAGATCCCAATTTATCTGTACTCAGGTAAGAAATGGAATTGGCACTAACTAAAGAGAAATCTCCAGTGGCCTCTTCAAGGACAATCAAGGACTGATAGTCATTCTTCTTTCTATTCTATTTTTTTTAAGATTTTATTTATTTATTTGAAAGAGGTGGGTAGGGGCAGAGGGAGAGAGAATCTCCAGCAGACTCTGCCCTCAGCACAGAGCCTGATGCGGGGCTCAATTTCACGACCCTGAGATCATGACTGAACCGAAATCAAGAGTCGGGTGCTTAACTGACTAAGCCACCCAGGTGCCCCAATAATACTTTTTTGAGATCTAATTCACATACCATAAAATTCACTCATATAAAGTATACAATTCAATGGTTTTTAGTATATTCAGTGCGGTGTAACAATCACCACTAACTTTAGAACATTTTCATCACCCCCAAAAGAAACCCTATCCGCATTAGCAGTCTCTCCTTCTGCACCCCCACCCCCAATTCTAGACAAACACAAGTCCATTTTCTATCTCTGTGGATTTGCCTCTTCTGGATATTTCATATAAATTGAATCACACAAGGTTTGGGGTTTTTGTGACTGACTTCTTTCACATAGCATAATGTTTTCAAGGTTTGTTTATGCTTTTGCATGAATCAACACTTCATTCGTTTTGTGGCCAAATAATAGTCCCTTGTATGAATACTCCACGTTTTGTCTATCCGTCCATCAGGTGATAGACATCTTGGTTGTTTCCTCTCTTTGGCTATTGTGAATAATGCTGCTACGAACATCATGTGGACATATGTTTTCATTCCTCTTAAGTATATTTCTAGGAGTGAAATTGTTTTGTCATATGATCACTCTGTGTTTAACATTTTGAGGAACTGCCAAGCTGCTTTTCAAAGTGGCTGCACCATTTTACATTCCACCAGAAATATATGAGAGTTTCCATCTGTCCACATCCTTCCTAACCTGTTACTGTCTGCTGTTTTTATATTAGCCATTCTAGATATAATGAAGTGGTATCTTGTGGTTTTCATTTGCATTTCCCTAATAACTAATGATGTTGAGCATCCTTCCATGTGCTTACTGGCCATGTGCATGTCTTCTTTGGAGAAATACCTACTCCAATCTTTTGCCACTTTTTTTTTTTTTAAATAGACTCCATGTCCAGCATGGAGACCAACGGGGGCTTGAACTCACAACCCTGAGATCAAGACCTGAGCTGAGATCAAGAGTCGGATGCTTAACCAACTGAGCCACCAGACACCCCTCTTTTGCCATTTTTAAACTGGGGTATTTGTCTTTTTATCGTTGAGTTGTAAGGGTTTTTTATATATTATAGATGTAAATCCCTTATCAAATATATGATTTGTAATATTTTCTCCCATTTTGTAGGTAGTCTTTATTTTCCTGATAGTGCCCTTTGAAGTACAAAGGTTTTAAAATTTTGATGAAGTCCAACTTATGTAATTTTTTTAATTTCTTCTACTTTTGGTGTCATATCCAAGAAACCATTACTAATCTACGGTCCCAAAGATCTACTCCTACGTTTGCTTCTATGAATATTATGGTTTTAGCACTTACATTTAGGTCTATGATCCATTTTGGGTTAATTTTTGCTTACAGTGTGAGGTAGGGGTCCTCCTTCACTCTTGCATATGGATATCCAGTGGTCCCAGCATAAAAGTCACTTTTTAGGGTTGATAAATCTTCCAGGCAGGGAAAAAAAAAAATGTATCACCTTTTCCTCCATCATTCCCTAGAAGATGTTTCCTTCAATCAGCAAGAAGAAACTGTAGGCAGCTCTTGGCTGATCCCAGCAAGGCCTTGGTTCACCAACAAGGAAACCAAGATGGAAGGCTCAGTCAGTAGTGCATGCC